CATTTAAAGTGAGGACATTAAGGTGGAGTCTCTTTCGATGATATTTTCCCCAGGTATCTTTCTATCTGGAGACTGAGTTGTTGTTTATAAGGTAGGCTGTCAATGCATTACAGGTAGTCCTTGACTTATGACTGGTTGCTTAGTGATTGGTCAAAGTTATTATGGACCTATCAGGGGGCTACCTAGGACCTGGATTCAGATTTCCAATGGTGACCACCTCCTGCAATCACATGACCCAATTTTGGATGATCAGCAATTGCATGTTGTGGCCTGTACGCGGCCTGTGCGGCTGGTGGCTGATTCGGACAGTGAGGAGGCTGGTGTGGTTTTGCGCCAGTAGCCTGTGCAGCTGGCACTCGAGTCAGACAATGAGGAGGCTGGAGAAGATGTGGTGCCAGAGGCGGGGATTCAGCCAGGGCCCTCAGAACCTCCAGAAGGTCCCTTAAGTGGAGAGGAGGAAGAGGAGGAGCCTCTTCTCGATGCATGGGCGCGCAGAGCGGTCAAAAGGCAGGAGTGGCTCCTCAGGAGGAGGTCACCTCGAGAGTAAGGCTTGGGGCTAATTGGCCACTCCCTTAGCTTATTTAAGGAAAGACGACGACTGAAGCAATTTGCAGGGAACAACTTCATTCACTTTCCTTCGTGCCTTGATCTTAGTTCTCTGCAAATTGCTTCTGGGCTTTCTGCCAACCATAGTAAGATTAAGATTATTTATTCTTTGGATTCTTGTAGGCTGTTAAGAAAGTTAATTAACAGCCTTTGTTTGAAAAAAAAACCTGTTTAATTTAGTAAACTAAGGTTTGTACAGACTTTGTGTGTGCTGCGTTCTTTGGGGTCTGTAGCTGGGGCAGAACAGGAAGCTGGATTTATGGCTGTTTGCAGTGTCCTGCAGTAATATGACTGCATTGTACAATGGTTTTGCAACACACACACACACACACCAATGTTTACTTCCAATGTTTGGCAAAACTGCCCATAGTAAACCATTGATTTACTTAGCAATTGCGGCATTCACTGCCGTGGCTGCTTTAGAACCATCTTGTTCACTTAACAACCCCTACAAAAAAAGATAATAAAATCGTACAACCATCATGACTTACAAGCATGATGGGCAGGCTCCACTATGGTCATAAATCGAGGACTAGCTGTACCTTCTATGTCTCAATGGTTTATGTTTGCCTAACCCAGGGGTCAGCAACCTGCAGCTCTGGAGCCACATGTGGCTCTTTCACTCCTTTGCTGTGGCTCCCTGTCACTCAAGGTATGCATCACAACCACCAATGTGCGACACCGGCTGGAATGCGATTTATTGAACTTTTCAACCCCCGGTAGGTCAACCATGGATAAATCCAAGAAAAGAAGTTTCCGAAGAAAACAGAACGTTTAATTCAACTACATATGCTAGTTTTATGGCCGCTCAAGAAATAGTCAGGCACGGGAAGGGTTTTGTGGCTCCCTGTGGTTTTTTTTTCTGTGGGAAACGGATCTAAATGGCTCTTTGCGTGTTTAAAGTTGCAGATTCCTGGCCTAACTTCTCTCTCAGTCTTTTCCTGGCCTTCCCATTTTCTGCCACACTGCTTGTTGGCTGATTAGATTGTTTCCATTAAACATATAAGCTTAATATGCAAGTCAATAAGCATCCATCCATGTAAGAGGAATTGTTTAGCTAGAGAAAGATTTGTCAATCATATATTAGTGGAATTCAAAATCTGACAGAAATGCCATAGTGTTGGTTATTAAATCTTCAAGCTTTATAGTAAACAAGAAGGATTTTTGAAAAAAAAATATTGATGGACAAAAGTTATATCAATCACACTGCATCAATTAATTATTATGGCAGTACTAAAGACCACCCATTGTCGTATATAGGTATTTTTAATATATTTATTTATTTATTTTATTTGATTTCTATACCGCCCTACTACCGAAGGACTCAGGGCGGTGCACAGCCAAACAATAAAATACATACATACAAAATTTAAAAGTGGAATTAAAATCAAATTAAATAGTTTTGGCTCAGACAAATTAAAACCCCAATCAATTTAAAACCAATTTTAAAATTTGAATATATAAAATACTAAAAAATATTAAAAATTAAAAATCTTTTATAAAAGAGGGAGAAAATTAGGCCAGGCCCGCCTGGTGAAATAAAAAGGTCTTTAAAATGCGGCAGAAGGTGCGCAGATCCGGGATCCTCCGTATCACCAGGGGGAGCTTGTTCCAGACAGTAGGTGCCCCCACAAAGAAGGCTCTCCCCCTGGGGGCCGCCAGTCGGCATTGTTTGGCCGACGGCACGCGGAGGAGCCCCTCTCTATGGAAACATACCGGCCGGTGGGAGGCTATTGGTGGTAGTAGGTGGTCCCGCAAGTACCCAGGTACCCAAGCCATGGAGCGCTTTAAAGGTGGTAACCAAAACCTTGAAGCGCACCCGGAAAACCACCGGGAGCCAGTGCAGCTCGCGCAGGAGGGGTGTTACATGGGAACACCATGTCGCTCCCATTACCACCCGTGCAGCCCACTCTGCACCAGTTGGAGCCTCCGGGTGCTCCTCAAGATACCATGTACGATCATGTACGCATGATACCATAGTCGATGGTATCAAAAGCCGCTAAGAGATCTAACAGGACCAGGACAGAGGAGCACCCCCTGTCTCGAGCCCTCCAGAGATCATCAACCAACGCGACCAATGCCGTTTCCGTGCTGTACCCGGGCCTGAAGCCCGACTGGAATGGATCCAGATACGACATTTCATCCAGATGCTAGGGGAGCTGTTGCGCAACCACACTCTCAAGAACCTTTGCCACAAAGCGAAGGTTGGAGACTGGACGATAGTTTACCAACATTGCCAGGTCCAGGGAAGGCTTCTTGAGGAGAGGCCTCACCACTGCCTCTTTCAAGGCGGTGGGAAAGTCACCCTCACCCAAGGAAGCATTTATAATCCCCTGGAGCCAGCCTCGTGTCACTTCCCGGGAAGCCAGCACTAACTAGGAAGGACACGGGTCCAATAAACAAGTGGTCGCATTCAGTCTGCCCAGAATCCTGTCCACGTCCTCAGGAGTCACAGGATCAAACTCATCCCAGATAACATTCTCAAGACCTGCCCCAGTCTCTCCCCCTGAGACTACCCAGTCGGAGTCCAAATCTTCCCGAATCTGAGTGATTTTATCATACAGATACTGAACAAAATCCTCTGCTCTACCCTCCAATGGGTCCTCCCATGCTTCCTGGTGGAGCAGGGAGCGGGTCACCCTAAAGAGGGCAGCCAGGCGGTTATCTGATGACACAATAAGAGCAGCAAAATAGCTACATTTCACTGCTTTTATCGCCACTAGGTAATTCCTAATATGGGATCTTACTAGTGAACGGTCAGATTCAGAAAGACTGGCCCTCCAACTACTTTCTAGGTGTCTTTTCCGGTGCTTCAACTCCCTCAGCCCCTCAGTAAACCAAGGAGCCAATTGAGATCGGCGCCGGGTCAGAGGCCGCAAAGGCACGACCCAATCCAGAGCTCCAGCGGCCGCCCTATCCCAGGCGGCCACTAGGTCTCCAGTCGAGGCGTGTGCCAGAGCCTCAGGAAATGGCCCAAGCTCTATCTGGACTCTGTCAGGTTCCATCAGGTGCCTGGGGCAGAACCATCTTACTGGCTCCGCCTCCCTGCGGCGGGGTGCAGCGATTCGAAGGTCGAGACAAAGGAGAGAGTGATCTGACCATGACAAGGGCTCGGTAACTATATCCCCTATCTCAAGATCACTCAGCCACTGTCCAGAGACAAAAACCAGATCCAGCATGTTTCCCCCCGTGTGGGTAGGGCCATGAATTAACTGGGTCAGATCCATAGCTGTCATGGAAGCCATGAACTCCCGAGCCACCTCAGACGTCTCACCCACGGAAGGCAGGTTGAAATCCCCCATGACCATAAGCCTAGGGGTATCAACCGCCACCGCGGCGATGATGTTGAGTAGCTCGGGCAGGGCTGTTGCCACGTGGCAGGGAGCCAGGTAAGTGATCAGCAAACCCATCTGAACCCCATGACCCCATTTCACAAAAAGGGATTCACAGCCGGCCGTCTGAGGAACGGTGGCCTCCCTCGGTCTCAGACCTTCTTTAATAATAACCGCTACCCCCACCCCTCCCCTGTGATGGAATGCTTGGAAACCTGGCAGGCACATTTCAACGAGGGGAACCCCCCCTCCTGGCCCAACCAGGTCTCCGTAACACCTGCCAGGTCCGCACCCCCCTCCTGAACAAGATCACAAATGAGGGGGGCTTTGTTTACTACGGACCTGGCATTGCACAGCATCAGCGAGTGCTAACACGATATGGCCCCCTGCTCCCGCCATATCTACCCATCCCACCTACAGTACTGATGTTCAGAAAACTATCCGGACAAGCTCTAACCCCCCCTCGACCCGGGTCCCCCACCCCCCCACACCACATTTCACTGCCAGACCCAACCCTCCCCCTTGTGGGTTATCCCCCATACCCACAGCCCAAATTCCAATCTGACACTCCCCCTCCCTGGGACCCCTTAAAAATTTGACTAAAAATTTCAATAGAAAACCCCTCAATCCCCTAGTTTTCACATGCCACCTCTCTGGGTCCCAAAACCCGTCCTTGAGGTGGGCCCTCGATAGTGAGGAGGGCCACATCTGCGAGAGGGGGGAATCTCGCAGCGCAAGAAGATCCGCTGTCGTGTACATCTTCAAGATGCAGCGATGGAGGCACGGAGCTCCAACAGGGGACTTCACAAAAGATGTAGCACAGCCATTTGTTCATTGATGTACTATTGGTATTTCTACTGTCCTCCCACGACAGTAGGAGGGTCCTGATTATCTCATCCAATGGGAACGGCCTCCGGCCCGCCCTCTCACGGCAGGGCCCCCAGGGGGCCATGGATCAAAAAAACTTCTCCGACAGACGAGACTCATGATGTAATAGAGGACCCCTCAACAGTTGCACCAATTGGCTGACTCATGGTCAGAGGAGGAGTTTATCAGTCTATCAGTCAGTCAGTGAGTCACTTCAGGGGCAAAGATGGAAAATCCTTGGCATAGTCTTGTACTCAAGATCACATCCGAGTAAGTCCCAATGAAAAAGGGGGGGGAGAAGGGAGGGGGAAGAAGGGAAAAGGGGAAGAAAAGGTGGGGAGAGAGAGAACTCCCTCAGTTAGGGCAAATAATGAGCCCATTTAGGCGGACACAGTACCCGGGAGGGAGAGGGGAAAAAGGGCTGGTATCCATACGAGGGAAAAACCCTCTGTCACCCACCAGCTCTATTTTCCTCAGTTCTTCCAGACCCCAGCCTCCATTAAATGTCACAGGAGGCCTCCAGGTCCTCTGCAGCCGCCAGGATATTCCGAGGGGGGATCTCTCTTCTCCAATCCCAAGACCCGTTTATACTCCTCTCAGTTTCTGAGTGGGTTAGGTGGAAATTCAACAGGCTGCCACCACTCGCTGCCCCAAAGCCATTCTTCCTCCTTCCTCTTCATGTTCTCTGCCAATGCCTCTGGGCTTATCCAGGGGCAAGGGAGGTCTTAAAAAACCCTCGCCCCAAGCTCCACTGACTGAACCCGCCGCCGCGATGATAAGCCACCATATCTCCGCTCTCTGCACTGCTCTGGTCTCTTTTCTCAACCTTCTCCACTCCAGCAGCGCTTCCATTCTCAGCTCTCCTCTCTCGGTTCTCGCCCGATAAGCCACCATGCCTCAGCTTTCGGCTCCGCTCTCCGCTCCCCTCCAGCAGGGCCTCCACTCTCGGCTCTCGGCTCTCGGCCCCCGGCAACTCTCAGCAGCTCTCGGCAGCGTCGGCAGCGTCGGAGCGGCAAATTTCCACTCTCCCTTGCCGCTTCCGACTCCGGGAATGTCCAGGGGCGAGGAAGGTCTGAAAACCCTCGCCCCAGACCCATCTGGCTGAACCAGGAGTTGCTGATAGTCGAGCTCCCCTGTAGTACCCCCTAAGGCCCTGAAAAGTCCTCCATCTCACCGCAGCGCTTCACCACGCAACCGCCATCTTGCGCATGCTCATATCAGTTCTTTTGATATGAAATAAAAATATATATTTTTAGATCAGATAATCACGACTAAATATTTTAATGAGCCTTAGATCCTTTCTCACATGCTCTGCTAAAATTACCAATTATTCATGAAAAATCTTATATGCTGGAGTTTAATTTCGTAACAGTATGGCAAGTTTTAAATCCTTCACAGCAAGACTATTCTTTTTTTTTTTAATTCCCTATTAGATGTGTTCTCAACCTGATTAATTTTTACTATTTTGATCCTCAGCTAATTGGATGGATAAATGCAATATTTATTTTTACAGAAATATCTGATCATCATCCAGCAACATTTTAGATAGAACCTCATCATTAAAGATATTTTTTACTAAAATAGATTAAGCAATATTTTGAAGGTTTTTTTTTTTAAATTGAGAATGTAATGGTTGTTTGAAATATTTTAAGGCATATATTTATGGACTTATTAATGCAAATGTTTCATGCAAAAAGAAAGAAAAAAGAAAATTTGGAGATCAAAGTTAAGAAACTCTTGATCACATATAGAAACAATCTATATCAAATTTTGTAAACCTTTCATGTTGGCTAAATTGGAACTTAATTTTAATTTATGGACTTAATATAGAATACTGATTGCATTACATAAAGCAAAGAATGTAAGAAAGGAATGTAGAAAAAGACTGCTAAATAATTGGGTTCTTGACTCAAATGGCAGCAAGATTGTGCAGTACATGTGAACATTGTATAGTGGGCATTGTACATTGTAGAGGTAGTCCTCGAAGTATGACAGGGGTGAAATGTAAAATTTGTTACTACCGGTTCTGTGGGCGTGGCTTGGTGGGGGGTTAATGTGACTGGGTGGGCATCGCCAATTTTTTTTTTTTAACTTTTCAAAGCATTTTTTCTAATGTTTTGAAAAGCCTCTGCTGATCAGGCAACTCAGATGGGATCATCAGAGAGGCTTTTTAAAAAATACCTCTCTGACTATCAGCTGGGATCATCAGAGACTTTTCAAAGCATTTTTTTATCACCTCTTTGGCCAAGAGGTTGCAGAAAAAAATGCTTTGAAAAGCCTCTGAGGATCCCAGCTGAGCCGCGTGATCATCAGAGGCTTTTTTTTTTTACTTTTAAAAACATTTTTTCATTGGAAGAGGTTGTAGAAAAAATGCTTTTAAAAGTAAAAAAAAAAAGAAGCCTCTGATGATCGTGCGGCTCAGCTGGGCATGGGGGTGGGGTGGGGGGCACAGGGATTTTTGCTACTGGTTCTCCGAACCACCCACCGCCATCACTACCGAATTGGGCGATCCGGTCTGAACCGGGAGGATTTCACCCCTGAAGTATGACCATAATCGAACCCAAAATTTCTGTTGCTAAGTGAGACATTTGTTAAGTGAATTTTCTCCCATTTGCAACCTTCCTTGCCACATTTGTTAAGCGAATCACTGCAGTTGTGAAGTTAGTCACACAGTTGTTAAATGAATCCGGCTTCCCTGTTGGCTTTACTTGTCAGAAGGTCACAAAACGGGATCACATGACCCCAGGACACTGCCTCCGTCATAAATATGAATCAGTTGCCAAATACCTGAATTTTAATCATGCGACCAAGGGGATGGTCGCAAGTGTGGAAAAAAGCCATACATCAATTTTTAAATGACATGGTAGCTTCGAATGGTCACTAAACCAACTGTTGTAAGTTAAGGACTACCTGTACTCTACTGTGCTGACAGCAAAATATATAACGAACTTAATAAATCTTACTTAATAAATCACCATGTTTTTATTAAGACACCCCCCCCCGAGAATACTGTGGACAGAAACACCATTGGATCATGCCTTCTGGATGATCACTGGCATGGATGAGGAGGGGTTTTGTGTAGTCACCCTTGTCCCACTTGACCAGGGGTGAATTCTACTTATCTTTACTACCGGTTCATACAGGGAGTGCACACGTGCATGTCAGGGGTGGGTTCTAAATTTTTTTACTACTGGTTCTGTGGGCGTGGCTTATTTTGTGGGCGTGGCTTGATGGTCATGTGACAATTCTTTAAGATTTAACAGAGGTACTGGTCTACCAGGCTTATAACTGCTTGCAGAGCTTTACCGGTCTACTCATTTGTTTTTGGAGGCACTGGTCTACTCATTTATTTTTGCAGGAACCGGTCTACTCATTTGTTTTTGGAGGCACCGGTCTACCCATTTGTTTTTCGAGCACACTGGTCTACCACCACACTGCAAACGCATTTTAATTGTTTATATTGTATGTTTTTTAATTTTGGCTGTTCACCGCCCCGAGTGCTTCGGGAGAGGGGGCAGTATAAAAATCTAATAAATAAATAAATAAATAACATTGATCAGCTGTAGGGCAGCCCTTTGAAGCCCCACAGCAAGAGTTTAAACAGTTTTTTTTTTCTTCTAGCTGATCAGCTGGGACTCGGGAGGCAGCAATAGATTGGGGGTGGGGCCAAATAAAAGGTAAGAATAACAGGAGGGCCGGGGGGGTGGGCAGAACCGGTTCGGTGACGTCATATCGTCACCGCTACTGGCTCGGTGGAACCGGGCCGAACCGGGAGGAACTCACCACTGGTGCATGCGCAGATCACCAAATGTGACATCAGGGCGGGTGGGCGGAGCCTCCCACCGTTTTTACAACCGGTTCTCAAGAACCGGACAGAATTGGGAGCAACCCAACACTGCACTTGACCTGTGAGTGACTTTCAAGACCATTAACCAAGATATCCTTCTAGATTGGCTCAAAAGGTTGGGGATAAAATAAGATAGGCTTTATTATCATTTTTTTTTCTGTGGGCACACTGGCACACATTAAAAATAAAATTCTGTTGCCTGCTCTCCAAAGTGTACACATACCTAACACACACATAGATATGCTATATACATACATATATATATACCTACACCCTAACATATAAATACACTAGCTGGATGCCTGTGCTTCGCTATGAAACTATGTGCTCGGCCTTGATAAATTGACACTGAAACTTAATGTAGAACGTTTAACTCTGTAGCATCAGAGTGTGTTAATATAATGCAATTGGCAGTTGGAACAGAGTGGGAGGGGGAGTAGAATGTCCCAGCCCGCAGCACCCATCAGTATTCATCTGGCTAGCATCCTGTCAGTGTGTGAGAGAGTTGAGGGGTATTTGGAAACTCAAACAGTATTTGCTGTGTGAGCAAGAAGGAGACAGGAAGGAAGCTGGGTGTGGCTTAGTTCAACTGTTCTGTATTAAAGCTGCTTCCTGCTGTGAAAGTAAAACTGAAAGTGAAACTCCTCTCCTCTGCTTGTGTTTTGCATTTGGAACAGATTTCTTTTGAGGTGGGGAGGGGGAGTAGAACTCCTTAGCATCAGAGCATGTTAATAATAATATAGGAAATGCTAATGCTCTGGTGGTCATTTCGAAAAATCCTTTCTTAATGAGCACCTAGAAGCCAAGAGGAACATACGTGGCAAATTTCAAGTTTGTAGGCTTTACGGTTCTGGAGATTTCGTGATTAATATGTGAGTGGTTTTCGCTTTTATATACTGTATATAGATATAAATATTAATCACTGTCTATCTTAATACATAGTGGAAAGAAGAAGCTCAAGAGTTACAAGGTTGATACTGTATGGAACAAAACTGTGGCTGAACCTAGAGGTATTCTGCTCCCTCCCAGAAGGTAACAAGGAAAATAGATCGTGAAAAGGATGTGTAGCTCCCAGACAATCCCGTGGACCCTGCTCAAGCAACGCTTGTATGCTATAACGTGGATAGAAGGGAATGAACTGCCAATAATCTTTTCTGCCATCCTCACCACTCTCTGCACCGCCTTCCTGTCTGAAGCGGTAATGCTTCAAAACTGGACTGTGATGTAATATGACAGGATGCTCTCGATCATCCCTTTATAGAAAGTGATAAGGACAGAGGGAGGATGATGAAGTTTTCTCATGTGATGCACAAAATGCAGGCACTGTTGTGCCCGCTTCACCAGTGTCTCGCTGTTGAGCCACCAAACAAGCCTACTCGTTAGCTGCACATCCAGAAATTTAATGCTGTCAACATGGTGTTGTGCTGATTTATCTTGTTTCTTTGGGGTTGATTCCAATAGATGGTTACTGGGGGAGAGGGAATAGAATAGAATAAAGCTGGAAGGGACCTTGGTGGTCTTCTAATCCAGCCCCCCCCAAAGCAGGAGAACCTTTACTATTTCAAATAAGTGGCTGTCTAGACTCTTCTTAAAAACTTCCAGTGATGGAGCACCCACAATTTCTGAAGGCAAGCTATTCCACTGTCAGGAAGTTTCTCCTTAATTCCAAGTTGCTTCTCTCTTTGGTTATGTTGCTAATATCTTCTCTAGGTGCCTAGAAGCTGCGGGGGTCAGGATGTGAAGCAATAGGTTTGAACCCTGGCAAAACTGAGTGGTGTTGGGTTTGGTGCTCACTGGTTCTAGAACTCTGCCATCTTGGATGCTGGATGGGCTGACACTGACCCAAATAGAACCCGTGTGTAATCTAGGCTCCTTCTGGACTCATGACTTCTGCTCAAAAAGCAGGTGACAGTCATAACTAGGAGGACCCTTCCACAATTTCGTATTGTGTTGAGTTTTTTCCTAAATCAAGAGGTTCTACTCATGATCACCTATGTCTTGTTCACCTTTCAGTTGGACTGCTGTAATGTACACATGGGTCTGCCCTTGAAGAGTATCTGGAGCCTCATCTATTGCTAAATTCAGTGGCAAGGGCAGTTTTGCGTTTTTGGCAGAACATGTTAGACCTCTGCTTCTCAAGATGTATTGGTTACCAGTTTGCTTCCAGGTCCAATTCAAGATGCTGGTTTTTACTTTTATCAATCTATATCCTGCCTTTTTATTATTTTTACAAATAACTCAAGGTGGGGAACATATTCAACACACCTTCCACTTTCTATTTTCCCCACAACAATCCCCTTGTGATGAGTTGGGCTGAGAGAGTGACTGGCCCAAATCACCCATCTGGCTTTTATGCCTAAAGGAGAACTAGAACTCACCATCTCCTGATTTCTAGCCTGGTGCCTTAAGCCCTGGACCAAACTGCTCTTTAAAAGCCCTGCATGGTATAGGATCAGATTATCTGAAGGATCATCTCTCCCCAATGACATCTGCCACTTCCACCAAATCCAGCAGAGAGGGTATATTGTGGGCACTGTTGGCCAAGGACTTACATTTGCCAAGTCCTTCTCTGCTGTGGTGCCTGCTTTATGGCAATATCACATAAGAACCATGGTGGCGCAGTGGTTAGAATGCAGTACTGCAGGCTACTTCTTGCTGACTGCCAGCTGCCAGCAGTTTGGCAGTTCGATTCTCATCAGCTCAAGGTTGACTCAGCCTTCCATCCTTCTGAGGTCAGTAAAATGAGGACCCAGATTGTTGGGGGGCAATAGGCTGACTCTGTAAACTGCTTAGAGAGGGCTGTAAAGCACTGTGAAGTGGTACTTAAGTCTACGTGCTATTGCGATCCTTCCCTCCCAGTGAGGCTGGCATCATCACTTTTGACTTTCAAAAAAATCCCTCAAAGTCTGGAATCAGGCCTGGGTACCCCAGGGATTGATGAGTTATTGAGGTGAATTATATTAATATAATTATTATATTATTATTAATTATTGTTTGTTGCATAGTCAGCCAGATGTTCAGACTATATTTGAATTTTTGTCCGCCTATCAAATCCTTCCCAAGAACCTGATAGGCAGATGTGGATGTTTGATGGGTTATAGATATCGTTGCAGGCTGCAAGTTGTTCCCAGTAAAGCTACCTTTTGCAATTGAGAGATGGGGAACGTGCCAGTGCTGATGGTATTATTAATTATTACTAACATCTGTATCTTCACCTAATATTTCTTCCTTTTCTGCTTTGTCTTTTATTGTTTTTAAATGCTTTGATAACACAATTATGATGATACTATTTTTACTATTTATCAACTTTACTGTCTTTCTGCTTTGTTGTATGCTGTCACTTGTTTGTGAGATGGGTGGCTACATAAATTTGACAAATAAAAACATAAATATTGCACATGGAATTATTGCCTCATCTGTTGTGAAGTTCTTGGCAACCCTGTCTAACAGAAAGTAGATTTTCCCCGAGTTTAACAGGATTTATTGAAAAGGGACAGGAAAAACTTCCAGCGAATCTAGCAATTGGCTTGCTTTCACTTTAGAATCCAATCCATCATGCAGGTTGCCAAGTCAGGAGCCTTTTCGGTCTATGGGGCTCCCTCGTGAACTGGCGAGGCAGCTGTTATCTTAATTAATAAGTAATGCCCAAGCAGTCAGAAAGAGAATTTCTCACAGACTCTGCACGCCTGTCAAAATATTTCACGGAAATGGTCAAGAATATGCCGTTTACCTCTCCTTATTCTTATAGGTAGCCTTCACAACCACAGTAGGGATCAGAAAATTCATCATTATGCACTGCAGTCATTAAGTGAGACGTATGGTTTTTAATGTGTTTAGTTTTATACTTCATCAACGGTTTTTATGTCATTTTAACTTTTGGTTGGGAGACGCCCAGAGTAAAATGGATGGCTGTATAAATGTTTTAAATAAATAAGTAACAAGTAAACATTAATTCAACATTAAGAAAACTAAGATCATGGCTCCCATCCAGTGGTGGGATTCAAATAATTTAACAACCGGTTCTCTGCCCTAATGATTTCTTCCAATAACCAGTTCACCAAACTTTTCAGAAAGCTAACAACTGATTCTCCCGAAGTGGTGCTAACTGGCTGAATCCCACCACTGCTCCCAGCCCTCTCAATTCCTGGCAAATAGATGGGGAAGAAATAGAGGTAGTGAATGATTTTATCTTCCTGGGCTCCAAGACCACCACAGATGTAGCCAAGAAATTAAAAGACACTTGGGAGGAAAGCTATGGCAAATCAAGACAGCATACTAAAAAGCAGAGACATCACCCTGACAACAAAAGTGCATATAATCAAGGCTATGGTTTTCCCAGTTGCAATGGATGGCTGTGAAAGTTGGGCCATAAGAAAGGCTGAGCGCCAAAGAACGGAGGCCTTTGAACTCTGGTGCTGGAGAAGACTCCTGTGAGTGAGTCCCTTGGACTGCAAGGCCATCCAACTGGTCAGTCCTAGAAGATATCAACCCTGATTGCTCTTTAGAAGGCCAGATCCTGAAGATGAAACTCAAATACTTTGGCCACCTAATGAGAAGGAAGGACTCCCTGGAGAAGAGCCTAATGCTGGGAGTGATTGAGGGCAAAAGAAGAAGGGGACGACAGAGAAGGAGAGGGCTGGATGGAGTCACTGAAGCAGTTGGCGTGAGCTTAAATGGTCTCCGGGGGATGGCAGAGGACAGGAAGGCCTGGAGGAAAGTTAACCATGGGGTCGCGATGGGTCGGACACAACTTCGCAACTAACAACAACCACAACAAAGTAACAAATTATTATTATTTTTTGCCACATTAAATCAAACACCTGCAATCGTTAAGTGAGACATCATGTGACCGCAATAGAAGACACTGTGAGTTCCTGCTGCAGAAATGAACTAGACCAGCAAAATATTTTTTCATGTTTATTCGACACCTCAGAAAACATTTAGAAAGGATTGGCTGTTAATAATACAGGAAATATAAAACAACAGAGGGGACACTTATAGATAAGATCAGGTTCTGCCATATTATTGTTCTAGTCTGGTCTAATAGCCCTAAGTTCTTTTAGCATGGTTTTGGGGAAATTAATATGGTTTAAAGATATGAATGTGATTTTGAATTAATTAATGTGAACTTCTTCAATATAGGAATAACTATGGGTTTTTCACAGGGGTGAAATCCAGCAGGTTCTGACAGGTTATGGAGAACCGGTAGCGGAAATTTTGAGCAGTTCGGAGAACTGGCAAATACCACCTCTGGCTGGCCGCAGAGTGGGGAGGGAATGGAGATTTTGCAATATCCTTCCCCCAGGAGTGGGGAGGGAATGAGGATTTTGCAGTATCCTTCCCCTGCCACGCCCACCAAGTCATGCCCACCAAGCCACATCATGCCCACCAAGCCATGCCCACAGAACTAGTAGTAAAAAAAATTGGATTTCATCACTGGTTTTCCAAGTATGACATGCAGTAAAAAATCAGGTCATTGTTCTGTTATAGAGCCAGACTGTTAAGTGCCAGAGAAATCAGGAGATTCAGGCAGTTCAAATGAATATAAAGATTTATTGTAAGCTTAATCTCTCTACAAGAATCTGAACTACTAACGGTCAAAGCAAATGAGCGGGAGATAAGAGAGACATTCAAGGTGGGCTGGACTTAGAGCTTCTGCAGGTGCACAGGGACTCATGACTTATGACACGTTGGACTCCTCCCTCAGCTTCAGCCTGGTCATCTCCTATACACATTAGTTTATAATCCGAGATCAGGGACATCCAGCTGGGGCTTTGATTACATGGTTCTGAATGTCATCTTGACACCCATCCACATATCACCATTCTTCAAATAGAATAGAATAGAATAGAATAGAATAGAATAGAATAGAATAGAATAGAATAGAATAGAATAGAATAGAATAGAATAACAGAGTTGGAAGGGACCTTGGAGGTCTTCTAGTCCAACCCCCTGCCCAGGCAGGAAACCCTACACCACTTCAGACAAATGGTTATCCAAACATCTTCTTAAAAACTTCCAGTGTTGGAGCATTCACAACTTCTGCAGGCAAGTTGTTCCACTTATTAATTGTTCTCAGGAAATTTCTCCTTAGTTCTAAGTTGCTTCTCTCCTTGATTAGTTTCCACTCATTGCTTCTTGTTCTACCCTCAGGTGCTTTGGAGAAGAGCTTGACTCCTTCTTCTTTGTGGCAACCCCTGAGATATTGGAAGACTACTGTCATGTCTCCCCTAGTCCTTCTTTCATTAAACTAGACATACCCTGTTCCTGCAACCCTTCTTCATAGGTTTTAGCCTCTAGTCCCCTCATCATCTTTATTGCTCTTCTCTGCACTCTTTCTAGAGTCTCCACATCTTTTTTACATCGTGGCGACCAAAACTGAATGCAGTATTCCAAGTGTGGCCTTACCAAGGCATTATAAAGTGGTATTAACACTTCACGTGATCTTGATTCTATCCCTCTGTTTATGCAGCCCAGAACTGTGTTGGCTTTTTTGGTAGCTGCTGCACACGGCTGGCTCATATTTAAGTGGCTGTCCACTAGGACTCCAAGATCCCTCTGACAGTTACTACTATTCCCTGCAGATGCTTCTGTCTGGGGTAGATAACACGCATTAGCTCATTATTCATTAGCTAAGTAATGGGAACATTATCATTATCTTTCTCTGCAATCAAGATTTAATGTTTGGATCTAGGTAAATATTAATAAGCCACAGCATATTACTTTCTTCTGGGTTTTGTAGCACTTATTTTTCGTTCTGTCCATCTAATCAACAGATAACCATTAAAAAAATGAAACCAGCCATTGTTTTAGATTTACACTTCTTCCCTTGCCAAGTGTGTGCTTGGAGATTTATGCTTAAATCCTGTCTTTGAAGCCAACAGCCATGTCTCTGCTCACCAAACATTCACCTTACTCCTTCCTTATTGAGTCTCCTAATGGCGCAATCCCTTTTTCTGTTCTCTCTCATCTTATTTCCAGCCATCCAAGCAAGTCGCTAAAATGAATATTTATCTGTCCTGGGTCATATACATTCAGAAGGTTGCACTATTTTTCCCCAAAAGTCATCTCCAATTCTTCCATTATTACTATTCACTGGAGCATAACATGAGCTGATCAGCAGTCTATCGATTTCTACTTTCATATGCATCCATAATCACCAAAATGCCACTAATTCATACCAACCGACATGCTTTTAGCCCTCCCATTCATAATTAAACATAAAGGCTAAAATTGTACATCAGTAAATTCCCTGCATTCATTCATCATTTACATACCACAAGATCAGCCCCCCCCCCACCTTTCTTCTGAACTATTAATTTCTACCTTTCTCTTCATTTCAAAGACACACACATAAATACATAAATATATTTAGCTATATTTGTCAACTCCTGCTTGTTACTCTTTGCTCCTTTTAAATTCCGTACACAACCTTCCATATGCCAAGACGAGCCCAGAGATAGTGAACTTTGCCATCTATTACAGCGTTTTACTTAGATAAGATAAATGCAATTCATTTCTCTAGCATAAGGCCTACTGGTGCATTTTAGGCAGACGTTCCCCTAATGTATTATTTTTAAATTGAAAATGTGCATTGTAATTAAAAAAAAGAAAAGAAAGAATGTGACTTCCATCTTATGCTGTGGACTGAAAAGGTGGATTTTGATAAGTGCCCCTTTGAATGTTCAATAACTCAATCCATCTCCCAACTTAAATTGGAGTCAAGGGTCTGATCTGCTCTAGCCTAAGATTAGCTACACCATACTTTTAAAACTGGAACTACTAAATTCAAAAATCTTTTCTTTTATATACACTGAGAGCGTATGCACCGAGACAAATTCCTTGTGTGTCCAATCACACTTGGCCAATAAAAAATTCTATTCTATTCTATTCTATTCTATTCTATTCTATTCTATTCTATTTCTATTCTATTCTATTCTATTCTATTCTATTCCATTCCATTCCATTCCATTCCACTCTATTCTATTCTATTCTATTCTATTCCATTCTATTCTATTCTATTCTATTCTATTCTATTCTACTATTCTATTCTATTCTATTCTATTCTATTCTTTACAGTACTCTCTGAGAAGTTTAGAGTCAGCATATTGTCCCCAACAATGTGGGTCCTCATTTTACTGACCTCGGAAGGATGGAAGGCTGAGTCAACATTGAGCCGGTCAGGATCAAACTCCAGGCTGTGGGCAAAATTTCCCTGCATTCTAACCACTGCATCACTAAGGACCCTATAATCTCTTCTTCCTTTTCTCTTTTCCTCGCAGGAGCTGAATCCAACACTTACCCTGTTGCCTTTAACTCCTGGAAGCCCAGGTTTGTCCTGCAAAAACGAAACGAAAGAAGAATCCATGGTAGGCTTCAGAAGTCATTTCCACTAGCTAATCAGCCCAGCAAATTCCCCTTTTCCAAGAGCATCTGGATGGCTTCCCCACCACGACCTCAAAGAACAAAGCAATATATGAAGGGGGACTCACTGATTTGCCCGGTTTTCCAGGTGGTCCAGGTTCCCCCTTGGCTCCTGGGTGCCCAGGGATGCCGATTTGATTTTCATCAGTAATAATGGGGCAAACTTCACATGGATCACCCTGTTGGAAAAAACATAAAGATGCAATGAGGAAAAAGAATACAAAGGAACTGAAACCAACAACACTAGGCAAAGGAAACCCCACCCCCCACCCCCAAAAGAGTAAAAGTACTAAAAAAAACTATAATCCATCCTAGCATGTTCTGTATTCCTATCTTTGCTATATGGATGGAAATGGTTGGAAACAACATTGCAGCAATCATATGCATCCCCAACAAGGTTGAGGTCCCAAACACAGGTTACAATGTCACCACGCAAGCACAGCTCATTGTATATTTTCTACCCAAAGACATAGATTTTACATTGTGATGTCATAATATGTGGTTCATTGTTTGTACCCCTTTACCTTTTCTGCAGGTGCCAATGTCCATATGTATAACTACATAATTGTGCATCTCTGCACCAATTTAATACCAGGGAAGAGCCTGTTCCATGTGATGGTTCAGCCTCACTGATCATATTTTTTGGGATGTTCCAGCAGTGTGAAACACCTGACTAATCTTGTATGGCTTCCACAGAATTCCAGGCCTGGAAGAGTAGAAATTGAAAAACAGCCTAGAACAGTGATGGCTAACCTTTTTGCCATGGGACCGGAAGTTGGCAAACGGGCCATTCCCAGCCTCCAGAGCGCTTCCAGGGTGCGGGGGTGGGGAAGGCCGTTTTTGCCCTCCCCAGACTCTTAGAAAGACTCTGGAGCCTGGGGACAGCAAAAGACAGGCCTTCCGGTCCCACCGGAAGTTGGCAAATGGGCTGTTTCCAGCCTCCGGAGGGCCTCTGGAGGGTGAGGAAAACTGTTTTCGTCCTCCCCAGACTCCTACAAAGGCTCTGGAGCCTGGAGAGAGAGAAAAACGGGCCTGTTTTTCCAAATGGTGAAGTTTCCTAAGAACCTCAGAAAGAAACTTTCTGAGGGAAGTCTACCTTGTTTGTCATCTTCTTTCTCAGAGACCCATTTTTTAAAGGTCCCCATCTAGTTTCAATGCTATTAGACTCACAACGTTGATTTCCCCTCTGAAGCTCTGTCTTGATCCTGGCTTCTTTATACTTACCTTTTCACCTTTCAGGCCTGGGGTCCCTGGTTTGCCCTGGAGAGAAAGGGGAATGGTTTAATTTTGCCAATGAAACGCTAGCAAGACCATCTCCTAATGATCCTTCATATGCACAGAGGTGTGAAAATGGTGACAATGCGCTTCTGCATGTACTTGAAGTCCCACCACCTCACCCACAAGGTCAGATCCGTTAAGTTCAGAGGAACATTATCTCAACAGAAAATGAATGCAGAGAGAAAAATAGGATTGGGGGCAGAGTAAGATGGTGTAAAATACTCTTCTGGCATCTGTCCTGTTCCCTAGAGCATAGGTGGAAGATGGTCTGGTCTCTATGTCTTTTATTTGAGCTCAGAATGGCTCAAACAAGCAGCCCCTGCCCAATTTTGGGGCTGCCTCCAAATAACTGGAGGGCAGATTTTATCTATTCCATGGATATTTAGAATAGAATAGAATAGAATAGAATAGAATAGAATAGAATTAGAATAGAATAGAATAGAATAGAATAGAATAGAATAGAATAGAATAACAGAGTTGGAAGGGACCCTGGAGGTCTTCTAGTCCAACCCCCTGCCCAGGCAGGAAACCCTATACCATTTCAGACAAATAGTTATCAAATCTCTTCTTAAAAACTTCCAGTGTTGGAGCATTCACAACTTCTGGAGGCAAGTTGTTCTACTTATTAATTGTTCTAATTGTCAGGAAATTTCTCTGTAGTTCTAGGTTGCTTCTCTCCTTGATTAGTTTCCACCCATTGCTTCTTGTCCTGCCCTCAGGTGCTCTGGAGAATAGTTTGACTCTCTCTTCTCTGTAGCAGCCCCTGAGATATTGGAAGACTGTTATCATGTCACCCCTAGTCCTTCTTTTCATCAAACTAGACATACCCAATTCCAGCAACCATTCTTTGCATCTTTTAGCCTCCAGTCCCCTAATCATCTTTGTTGCTCTTCTCTGCACTCTTTCTAGAGTCTCCACATCTTTTTTACATCATGGCGACCAAAACCGGATGCAATATTCCAAGTGTGGCCTTACCAAGGCATTATAAAGTGGTATTAACACTTCATGTGATCTTGATTCTATCCCTCTGTTTATGCAGCCCAGAACTGTGTTGGGTTTTTTGGCAGCTGCTGCACACGGCTGGCTCATATTTAAGTGGCTGTCCACTAGGACTCCAAGATCCCTCTGACAGTTACTATTATTGAATGAGGTACCACATATACTGTACCTGTGCATTTTCTTGCCTAAGTGTAGAACCTTAACATCTTTTAGATGTGGTGGATTGATACTCCTAAATTCCAGCCAAATGAAATTGAGATATATACAGCAACTTTGGGAAAGGCTCCCGTAAAGGATGCCAGTAATATCTAGTGCTCTCTGCCTACCAACCCTTTTCTATCCTGGTCAACTTTGGTCTCACTATCACCAAGAGGCAAAAACATGACTGCTCCACACATATAGAAGAATGTTTTCTGATGAGGAAGGTCACAGGTAAGGATGGATAGTTACTACTTCCTTGAGTTATCTCCAGGTGCCACTGTCTTTTAAGGGGATGTCTATGGGGTGGGCTTCAAAAACTTTAGCAAGGGGTTCTCTGCCCAGTTGCTGGGTGGGCGTGGCCATGGTGGGCATGGCCCAGTCAGCCTCCTGCACCTCACTGTGTGTGGGGGGGGTGTTTTTGCCCTCCCCGGGCTCTGGAGGCTTTTCTTGAGCCTCCAGGAGGGCAAAAATGGTCTCCTCAGACTCTGGAGGCCCTCTGGAGGCTGGAAACGGGCACGTTCCGGCCTTCCCAAACTTCTGGTAGGCCCGGTTTTTTCGCCCTCCCCATGCCTCCGTGTGTGCCCTGCACTTACCTGCATCCAAAACGGGCCACGTGGGGACTCCTGGGAGGGGCGGGACAGGGTTGGTGGGGCCAGCCAGGAGTGGGATTTGAGGGTTCTCCGAATTGCACAGAATCTTAGCTAGAGGTTCTCCCGAACCCCTGCGAACCCCCAGCAGAACCACCCCTGGATGTCTATTAATAGTGTTTCATTTTTATAAGAAACATGAGCCCAGAGCCCAAAATAGGAGTGAAGATTGCAGCTCTAGTTATTTGGAAGCCAACCTACTCTGAGTAGATGTTTGGGGTGAAATTAAGTAAAGTATGTAGGAAAGAGAAAGAAATGAATCTTTCCCCCTTATAATCCTTCCCTTCCTGCCTTCCTTTCCACCTTCAGCCTCATCAAAACACGTCTCAGATATTCACCTAATTCTATATAGAAGATTTATTTCAGAACTTACAGAAAACTTTTATTACATTATTATCCTCCATGACATACTCAGATGTAAGAATTAGGCATGTAAGAATCAACAACAGAATGATGTGTGTGTAAGAGTGTTTGTGATTTCTTTGCCTGATATTGAAGCCAAAGGTCCAGTGAGCTTCGTTTTTGGAAAGCAATTTCAGAAGAAGATTTTCTCAGTTTCTGTCAGTCCTTTACCTAAATAACCTGATGGCCTCTTCATCACCCAGAGTCACAAAGTATTAGTAGGGCCAATATATTTTAGCTTCATATGAACTGGGACATAGAGTAGCCTTGGCAAAAAATTCACTTCCATGGCATTAGAACACACATGCACCCAAAAGACAGAAAAACAACATTTAACAAAAGCAACCGATGGGGAGGGGGTAGCAAACGCTTCCAAATTTCCATGAGATCTGTTGTTCTAAACCCTAAACAAAAGGAATGAGAGCTGACAAGGAGTCCAATCAAGAGTTTCTCAGATTGCAACGTTCACAATGGAATGTGAAGCTGGATTGCTTCCCAAGGATAAGCTGCTAGACGACACATACCCAGAACAGCAACAGGACACAACTGGCACTTATATGCCTTTCCTTCATAGGGAAAATATGCCAGAAGTAAATATAGGGAGGGAAATTGCATACACTATGTAAATTTGCACATTCAATCCACACTGGAGACTTTGGGACACACGTTTTCCCAAAAGGGAAAGCAAATACTGATGAAATACAATTCCAGATGCAGAAAAAAAATGGTTAGCTGTTACTGAAACTGTTATGGAAATTGTGTATATATTTATATGTGTGTATAATACTCTGGAGGGGAAAAGAAAAGAGAAAATAAAAGAAACAGGGGAGGGAGAGAGGGAGGGAGGGAGGGGATGGAGGGAGGAAAGGAAAGAAAGAAAGAAAAAGAGGCAGGGAGGGAGAAAGAAAGAATGGAAAAGAAAGTGAGAAAGGAAAAAGGGAGAAACAAAGAGCAAGAGAAAGAAAGATCTCTCTCCTTTTTAAATCACAGCAAAATAAAAGCAACTCTCTTTCTAGTTTTTTTCTTTTCCCCTTATTGTTTTATTTCTTTGTCTTTCTTCTGTTTAAGTAGCCATTCAAATGGAGACAGGCATCAAGCAAGGCTGCATATTTCCCCCCACCAACCCCCTACAATTTTTTATATTAATTCTAAACTTGCTGAGAGACGTATCTTTGCTCTACTCTATGTAGACAAAGCAGCATTACTTTCCAGAACATTGACTGGCCTTAAAGAACACTGAGAGCATTAGCCCAGTACCACATATAAGATCGGATAGTATTCAATTATCAGAAAACCAAAATCACAGCATTTGCCAAAAGGCCCAAAAGCCACTCCTGGGGGATAGATGGCCACAAGATTGAACAGGTCTCCTGTTAAAAAATACCTGGGAATATTTCTTTACTCTGCCAACAGAATGGGGATTGCATTGCTGAAAATGCATAGAGGAGATCATCAGCCATCATGAAACTTCCTTAAGACAGGAGGCCTTGTTTTCAACTAGTTCCCTACATCTACAAAACTCTTGATTCTGCTTGATGAAATGGATCTCAAAGCATGGAAGACCATGACCACAACAGGAGGGAAGCAGCCAATTTTAAAATAAACCCATTTAAGATAAACTCATTTTAAGATGCCTGTTTTAAGATAAACTCATCAGTGGATCATCCAGTTTCCCAAGGAAACTGTCTGTGGCCCCATGACTTGGCTAAGACAGCCCAATCAAGAGCTTGGAAGTCAAATGACAACTAGAACCTCCTTAGATGTTGTGGCCTTTGATTCATTGATTTGTATGCTGAAGAAAAGACTTACTGGCTTCCCAGGAGATCCACTGTCCCCTGGAGATCCTGAACTCCCCTGGAAATAGAGAAGAAGATTGATGGCAATGAAATTTAACCCAGTAGTAACACTGTTAAGACCAAAACACATGATGTTCATTTCAAGATTAGAACCACTGGAGGTCACAAAGCTCTTAAAAGTTCATGACATACCTTTTCTCCTGGCAAACCTGGGGGGCCACCAGGATCACCCTGAAATGAAAACCAAATTGTTACAGTTGTTCAGAAATGAGTCACCAAAAGCACTATTAAAGACAGGAAGCACAATCTGATAAAAAAAAGTCCAGACTTATGTCTTGTAGGTATTTTATCAGTATGATAACTTCTGGAATAGTGGCAAACCATTCAAAGAGATGCTACAAAAAGTGCATTGACTGAAGGAAGCAACCCTCTTCCTAGTAATAAAACAGCTGTCCCCAGCTGTTAGCATGACTGTCCACCACCGGGAAATCATAACTCTATCACAGGTAACTGAGACTGTAACAGAATTCAAAATAAATGCACCCCGGGCAAAAACATTGAACATGAGGTCCTATGTATCCATCAGCCAATACAATTCACACAGGAAAAGGCAATGAACTGACTCTACTTTTGAAGCCTACAACCTCCTTCAACTTTATGTTAGGATGGAGTTTTATCAAAAGCATCCCTATCAGTTTCAGGATTAAGGGGCTGGAAGATTCCTTCTCCATTAGCTGAAGAGAGAGCACAAATGCAAAGAATGTAAACAAGACGCCTCGCATCCTGGACATAAACTGTTTCAACTCCTACCCTCAAAATGACGCTATAGAGCACTGCACACCAGAACAACTAGACACAAGAACAGTTTTTTCCCAAATGCCATCACTCTGCTAAACAAATAATTCCCTCAACACTGTCAAACTATTCACTAAGTCTGCATTACTATTAATCTTCTCATCATTCCTATCACCCATCTCTTCCCACTTACGACTGTATGACTGTAACCTTGTTGCTGGTATCCTTATGATTTATATTGTTTCCCTATGACTGTAAGTGTTGCACCTTATGATTCTTGATGAATGTATCTTTTCTTTTATGTACTCCGAGAGCGTATGCACCAAGACAAATTCCTTGTGTGTCCAATCACAGTTGGCCAATAAAGAATTCTATTCTATTCTATTCTATTCTATTCTATTCTATTCTATTCTATTCTATTCTATTCTATTCTATTCTATTCTATTCTATTCTATTCTATTCTATTCAACCATCTGTCACCAACAGACAGTTGGAGGTTAGCGTTAAGAGAAAAGGAGGTCTCCCAAGAGGGCAGCACTGTAAGAGATTGGGAAAAGTCTAAGATCTGAATGGATGTAGTTACTAGACAGCCACTCCAGCTCAGTCAGAAACAGTCATCAAGTGATTATGGTTATCACTTCCAAGAAAATCTTCCTCCTCAGCATCACAGGCATCACAACCATCATCAAGCTTCTAGCCAGGTTTGTCATTCTCTCTGCAGGAGCCCCAAAATGAATCTTGATATACCTTATACAGAAACTGAAAAATTTGACCAGAGCTAAAGCAATATTTTGATATGATCGGAAAGACTTATTAGTGGAATCTTCTTGTTGGATTCAAAGTTCTTTGAATTTAAACTAGGCCTATATTTTCTCAACCCAAAACTGGTCTCCAGGAACATATATCTCCTTTGAAAGGATGAAATAGCAGTTTTGGGAAATGAGATATTTAGGCCAGAAGAATGATGAAGTGGAGAAGGGTTAAATGCCCTCACCTCCCTTACTGCAATTTATCTGCTTTTACCTCAACCTCCATCTATTTTCTTGAATTGGAAAAATAAGCCCAGCAGTAAAAGTAGAACACCTCTTCATGGTGTTCCCATCAAGTCCTAAGTAATTTAAGTCTTCTCTGAATTACAGGTTTAATGTACTAGTAGGGAAAGTATCAGCAGGTGGCAGTATCTGGCTGACCTAGTTTGTGTATAGAAGGTGAACAAGGTTGAACATGGTGAGTATTTACTGTAGATGGGATATATTTATTTATTTATTTATTTATTTATTTATTTATTTATTTATTTATTTATTTGGTTTTTATCGCACATCTATTACTTTATAAATAATTCAAGGCAGTGAACATTCCTAATACTCCTTCCTCCTCCTATGTTCCCCACAACAACAACAACTCTATGAAGTGGGTTGGGCTGAGAGAGAGCGATTGCTCAAATTCACCCACTAGACTTTCATGCCTAAATTGGGACTAGAACTCACCACCTCCTAGTTTCTGGCCCAGCACTTTAACCACTACACCAGATTGGTTTATGGGAATATCAGGACTGTACACTAGACTGTGATGTGGAAAGACAAGAAGGCAATGACAAGTTACTGTTCCCAAGAAAAATACACTGATATGTCTATGAGACTATCAGAGATCAAACTTAATTAGAAGGAGACTCCACTTTTAAAGATGATTTATTTTCCAAGAAGAGTAGTAATCCTTACTGGTTTCCCTGGAAGGCCAATTCCAGATGGGCCTGGCAACCCTGGAGGTCCCGGTTCTCCAGCAAGCCCTTCGGGGCCGACAAAACCTGGATCACCCTGAGATTAAAAACACAGCCATTAGTCATGTTTATCTATCAGAAAAATGCCCCCCCCCCATCTCTGTCTTCAACTAGCACAATGCATAACAGTGTGATGGGTAGCATATAAATTTTATGGAATAAATTAATAAATACCTTTTGGCCTTTAGGCCCTACCAAACACAGCTCTCCAGGTCGGCCCTACAAAATAGCAAAAAACAGGCTTTGTTAGAAGAGGAGCTTCCCTTACACTTCATGCAATTCACGATCAGCTTCCTCTGAGGTGGACTCTGAAACTAAAGTGATAGATGGAAACTAATCAAGGAGAGAAGCAACCTAGAACTAAGGAGAAATTTCCTGACAGTGAGAACAATTAATCAGTGGAAGAACTTGCCTCCAGAAGTTGGGGTCCTCCAACACTGTAGGTTTTTAAGAAGAGATTGGACAACCATTTGTCTAAAATGGTATAGGATCTCCTCTTGAGCAGGTGGTTGGACTAGAAGACCTCCAAGGAACCTTCCAACTCTTGTTATTTTTTTACTGTTACTCTATAGGCCAGTGATGGCGAACCTTTTCGGCACTTAGTGCCCAAACCAGATGATGTGTGGGTGCGCATGTGTGCACATGTGGGTGCATGCATGTGCATGTGTGCTAGAGTGCCGGAAACTCAAAGACCAGCTGGTCGGCGCTCACATACACACTAGCCAGCTGGTCTTCAGGTTTCCAGCGCTCTGGAACACGCAAAGACCAACTGGCCGGCCCACATGCACACTCCAGAAACCAGAAGAGGGGCTGGCAACGGCATGTGTGCCACACTTCTGGCACGCGTGCCATAGGTTCACCATCAGAGCTATAGGCTGAGGATAAGAAGAGATTTTCTTAAGCCTGAATATACTCAAGTCTCCCTTTAGTTGTCCCAAAGGTACTTTTTCAAGAGCAGCTGGACTTTCTGGTGGTTTTTTTTTAAAAGATGTTTTGCTTCTCATCCAAGAAGCTTCTTCAGTTCTGAAGAAGCTTCTTGGATCAGAAGTGAAATGTCTTCAAAGAAAAAACAGAAAGTCCAGTTGCCTCTTGAAAAAAGCACCTTTGGGACAACCATGACCTGGATGACTGAGAATCTCCATAGACATCTCCTTTAGTTAGGAAAAGAGTAGGAAGCAAGACAGAGATTGTTACTGGCCAGGAATTATTAAGCCTTTGGATTGGCTGAACCTGGCACACATTTCTCACCTATTAATGGAATATGGTTCAATGCAATGGTTTGACCTCTAATGCAACTACCTTGATGCCTTTCTATTTGTACAGATAGCAAGATAGCTGAACAGTTATTAAATATAAATATTGATATATTTTTTTTAAAAGAAACCCTGTCTCTACCCCATTCCTCAAAGATACAAAGAGATGAATTCCTGATCCTAGTAAAAATGGTGTTTGGATATTGATGTAATTCTCTGGGCATCATTTGAGCATTGTCTAGTACAGTCACCCAAGCTCTTGTTATCTCTCGTTTGGACTACTGCAATGCCCTCTACATGGGGCTGTCCCTGGGGTGTACTCGGAGGCTCCAGCTGGTCCAGAATGCGGCTGCGCGGGTTGTTACGGGAGCTCCCCGTTACTCCCGTGTAACACCACTCCTGCGTGAGCTGCACTGGTTGCCGGTGATCCTTCGGATCCGCTTCAAGGTGCTGATACTTACCTATAAAGCCCTACATGGCATGGGCCCGGGGTACCTGCAGGACCACCTTCTGCCTGCCTCCCACCGCCCTGTGCGCTCACATAGGACTGCCCTCCTCCAGGTGCCATCAGCCAGACAATGTCGGCTGGTGGAGCCCAGGATGAGGGCGTTCTCTGTGGGGGCACCAACCCTCTGGAATGGATTACCCACGGGGCTCTGGACGGCCCCCGACCTCCGCTCTTTCCGCCGTGACCTGAAGACATGGCTTTTCCAACAAATTTGCTGACCTGATGGGTGATTTTTAATTGGGAGATTTTAATTGATTATTTTAGTAGCTATTTTTATTGTTTCATCGTTTTTAATTTCTGTGAGTCCTTTGGGAGAAGGGACGCATATAAGTATAAGAGAAATAAATAAATAAAAAATAAATAATACAGGAAACAAGGGGAAAGCAGCAGCAGACATGACATCGAAGAGAAAGATGCCTGTTGTGCAACTTACATCTCGCCCAGGGGCACCTGGTTTCCCGTGAAGTCCAAAGTCACCTTTCTCACCCTTCTGGCCCTGCAGAAAATGACCAATTTAGTAGAATTTAGTCGGCAATCCAGTGTATTTCAGTCACAATTTAAGTTTTCTCAACCTATCATTTCATCACTGATTCTAGTTCATTGATCTGCTATTTTCCCAATTGGTGTTAGGGCTTCTTAACAGAACAGCGAGCTGCTATTCTTAATCACAGCACACTTCCATAATCATGTGTTAAGGAAATCATAATTTCCCTAGCTTGAAATGTGAGGGAAACAATGAGGTGGATCGCCTTCCCATGAACTTGCTCCTTCATTTTCCAAAGCTAGGATTTGTCAATTATATCCCATCAATTTAGGAAGTCTATCTTGATTCAGTTTTGAATCATGTCAAATCAGATTCTGAATCAGGGGTGAAATCCAGCAGGTTCTGACAGGTTCTGGAGAACCAGTAGTGGAAATTTTGAGTAGTTTGGAGAATCGGCAAACACCACCTCTGGCTGGCCCCAGAGTGGGGTGGGAATGGAGATTTTGCAGTATCCTTCCCCTGGAGTGGGGTAGGAATAGAGATTTTGCAGTATCCTTCCCCTGGAGTGGGGTGGGAATGGAGATTTTGCAGTATCCTTCCTCTACCACGCCTACCAAGCCATGCCCACAGAACCCGTAGTAAAAAAAATTCACCACTGTTCTGAATCCTGGCTCAGTTGCATCCCCTTCTAATTCAATCCCTGAACTGAATCTCCCCAAAACTTACTTTCTGCCCGTGAGCTCCGGTCAATCCTTGAAGCCCCTGGAAACAAAAAAAGTATTCATTAATTAGCAATATAGAAATTTACAGTCTAAACCAGTGTTTCTCGACCTTGGCAGTGTTAAGCTGTGTGGCAGTGTTAAACTCACTTCATAGAATTTCCCAGCCAACATGCTGGTTTAAACTATGCTGAAACTTAAGAACCAGTTATCACAAACAATTAATTTTACATCCCTAAAACAACCATTATCCAGAAGTGTTGGCTTGCAATCTGGGATTCAAAATCCACTATAATTAAAGGACACCAAATTGGAAAAGAATGCTGGTTTGGGGATTTACAAATGTGTTATTTGGAAAACACATATATCCAATGTATTCATGTGTTCAGAGAAGCTATGGGATGAAATATGTAGAGTTTTCAGAAACTAAATTACACCCATTAAAAGAGCATGATAGAAGGTGCTAAGCTTTGAGAGCTGGCCAACTGTCAACATTATATTCCTGATAAATGTTTTTCTACTTGGTAGATCTGCATACAATTTCTCTCCTTAGTGGCCTGGGGGTTAAACCATCGATGATTGGGACATTGGATTGTATATCATCTCTACAGCTCAGTTTCAGTCTTAACCACTTCTTCCAATGCATGAAGTTTAAGGAGGCTTCTGAAGGAAATGGTGACAACATATCAAGCTCCAAAAACCAAGAGAGATACGTTGAGTTTCTTCTAAGTAGTTTCTTTTATTGTTCCTCACCCATAGACAGAAATCTTTCCAATTTAAAGCAAACTACTTGCATCATTAAAGATGGACTCTGGTTTGATGCAGGACCTCTAAGGAATGAGGAGAAGACGGCCAGATCAGAAGGAAAGGGAAAGTCAAACTAAATAATATTAGTTTGTAACAACCAGCCAAAATCTTTATTTTGTTACATTTCTAGGTTGGTCTTTGTGCACATAAAGCAGGAGGCGTTTGGCCAGTCCCAGAGAAGAGCTGTAATGCCTTCACAGGCCTGGCTCTAAAACAGTGAAACTAAATATTTATCATTTGCAATATAAACTTTGGCTGTGTGCAATGAGCTGTCTCCCTAGCCTTAGTTCCAATTACCGGGAGGAAGGGAAAACCTCAGCATCTCTGCAAAACCGCACAGAGGAGACGGTGAAGTGTTAAGCAGATGGGCAGAAGGCTCTGTCCAGGGTTAGGAAGGTCACAGGAAGTTTACTAGCTGACTAAACTGTTGAGATTGCACTTGACAGACGCTGCCCTACTGAAGCCAGGTTGAAGCAAGAGGGCTAAAGGGCCCCTGGATTCAGATGCAAAGAAACTTGCCAAGTGAAGTTTTTTTTCTAAAAATGCAAAGAATCCTAGACTTGGAAGGGAACTGAGAGGTCATCAAATCTGCTTGTGGCAGAATCTACAGAGTCTCTGACAGATAGCCATCCAGCATCCGTTTATGTAATAGGCAGAAAGAATGACTTTGGGGGATAAGAGGAAGAGCAGTAACCAAGACAGGGATCAGCTAAAAGCAATCTGAATTCAGGACAGAACTGTAACCTGGGACAGTGCCCCGGATGAGACCTTCCCTAGTTCTCACAAAACTAAAGGGAGGGAGTGGGGAAGTGCATTCACACTTACAAAATTCTGTTAAAGGTAAAGGTTTCCTTCGCACATATGTGCTAGTCGTTCCCAACTCTAGGGGGCGGTGCTCATCTCTGTTTCAAAGCTGAAGAGCCAGCACTGTCTGAAGACGTCTCCATGGTCATGTGGCCGGCATGACTAAATGCCAAAGGTGCACGGAACGCTGTTACCTTCCCACCAAAGGGGGTCCCTATTTTTCTACTTGCATTTTTAACGTGCTTTCGAACTGCTAGGTTGGCAGAAGCTGGGACAAGTCACGGGAGCTCACCCCATTACACGACACTAGGGATTCGAACCACTGAACTGACGACCTTCCAATTGACAAGCTCAGCGTCTTAGCTACTGAGCCATGACGTCCCTATAAAATTCTGTTGCTATATAATAAAAACAGTATTGGCCTGCATGACTTCCGTTTCCTAGTCTGGTCTTCCTTGAAGTGTTTACAGTTTGAAGACTTCCCCGTAAGGAAAAGAAAGCTTTCTATATCATGCAGTAGCCTGTTCTATTGGCTGATAGCTAGAACTGTAAGGAATATTCTTCTAAAACACCTTTCTTGTGGTTTTGATGGTTCTGGTCTTGGTCCAGATCCTACCCTAGGGAGGAATAAAGAAACTCCCTCTTTGCTGAGATGATAATATGGCAAAGTTGAGTCCTCCGCCACTTTTCTAGATCAAAGTTGTATCAGTTTATAGGACAAAAGACAGCAGCAGTTTAGACTGAGGTACCTGGGGTAGCTGAGAGAGAAGGTCACCAAAATCAAGATGACAAGCTTCAATTTTGCAATTGAAGTCCCACTCCTTTTTAATGTGTCCGCATAAAAAATTCAATTGGGGCTTTGATTATGTTGGTGGATCTGACACTTTGGCTTTTCACATGCACTCACACCCCTGATGTGATTCATTCTTCCTTTACACAACTTTGATGTGACTCTTTCAATCCTGGCCTTGTCACTCCATTCTTAAACAATTGAAATCACAGCAGACCCTTGTGGTTGTGGTCATTTGAAATTGCATTTATCCTGGCCAGGGCTGATTCTTTGACATAACCTTATTATTTTGCTATATTGTATATGCTTCCATATGCTTGGATAGAAACACATATCAAGTAAAGATGCTACAAAAGATTCTGTCCCTCAAAAATGATGGCAAGTCCCAAAATAGATCGAGTTTAATTTCCTTTGAACTGAGTTGACCCCTGCTAATTTTATGGACTCTATCTTCTTTCACAATGTCTTTCTGACTTCAGGTCCAGTCTCTAACGGTGGCTTTTACTGTGGTCTCTCAACCTAGTTCAACCTAGTTCAGTCCTGTTTTATTTTCTTCATCTAATCCAAGGTTGGTGTAGTGGTATGTGGACATGACCTTGGGAGATGGGAGGAAGAGCCACAGCTTACACAAGTGATGGCTAACCTTTTTGCCGTTGTGTGCCAAAAGCATGGGGAGTGGGGGGGGCGTCGCACGTGCACGTGCCCAAACCCATAATTCAATGCGCCCCAGGCTGTTTCCGGCCTCCGGAGGGCCTCTGGGAGGGTGAGGTGGGGAAGACCGTTTTTGCCCTCCCCAGGCTCCTAGAAAGCCTGGGGAGAGTGAAAAAAGGGCCTTCCGGTCCCACTGGAAGTTGGCAAATGGGCTGCTTCCAGCCTCTGGGGGTGGGGGTGGGGAAGGCTATTTTCGCCCTCTCCAGGCTCCTAGAAAGCCCCTGGAGCCTGGGGAGGGCAAAAACTGGGTGTTCCCCCCTCACTGGAGGCCCTCCGGAGCAGGGATGGGTTCTACTTACCTTTACTACTAGTTTGCAGTGGGGTTTTGCTGATGTTGGGTTCGGTGGGTGGAGCCTCCTGCCAGTTTTACTACCAGTTCTATAGAACTGGTGCGAACTGGGGGGCAACCCACCACTACTCCGGAGGCTGGAAACAACTTGTTTCCCGACTTCCCGTGGGCCCAGAAAAACCCGAAAATCAGCTGGCCAGCACGGGCAGGTGCACTGCAGCTGAGCTAGGGCAATGCTCGCATGCCCACCAATATGGCTCCACGTGCCACCTGTGGCACACGTGGCATAGGGCTTAGACAATAGTGTGATAAACAAAGGATGAGGTCTCAGAAGGGACTCTCCCTCGTTCTGTGGAGAATAAAAGTAAGGTAGGGGAGATGTACATTCAGACTTGCAAGACTCTGTAATGTAACGTTACAATAAGGATAGTGTTAGTATTCATGGTTGGTGCTTTCTATCTAGGTTATCTCAATGGTCTGATAGTTGGCTCTCTGGTATAGAGAAAACTATAAATATTGTTAATAATGTTGTTTTGGTTTTCAGCAGATTGGACCACTGGGGACAGATCAAAGGGTCTCCCTTTACAATAGCCCTATGTTCAACAGCACTGGACAAAATTGTTTCTCCTTTCTCTGGTCATTATCTCTGTTATTCTTCTTAAAGAATACTTTTTAGTTAAATAAAGGACATCTAGACAAACAGGCTCCCGAGATCTTGCCCAAGAAGGCATGTGTGTGAGAGAGGCAAAGAACACACAAAAAGTTCATACAAGTTTCATGAAGTCAGTTACAAAGCTGGGTGTTTATTCATTTTGCAAAGCTACCTTGATTAACTTTGGTTGCTTTTGAGTGTGCAATGTGTGTGTGTGAGAGAGACTCTTACTGTGTTGTATGAAAACAGGGTTTTTTTTGGATAGCAAGGTAGCTGGCTGCCAACCCAGACTGTTCAGTGATTACATGATAGGCATATTGTGTGAACACAGCCATGGATGCTGTTAGGTTAAGTGGGAAAAAACAGGAGACAGAAAAGACACAAAGAAACTAGGAGGAAGCAGCTCCAGAAGGCAAGTTTCCCAATCCGAAGGCTTCTTCTCCTGTGCCAGGGCTACATTTGGACTGAAACAATCCATTTTTACTTTCCAGGAACATTATGTTACACACAACTGATGTTCTGCAGCCCGTTTTTCAGAGCTGCTGATCTTTGCAGGTATGTCTGGGCCAGGGGTCGGCAACCTTAAACACTCAAAGAGCCACAAAGGTCCTAACCGGAAGCCCCCGTTCAATTCTGGAGCCGACCGGAAGTCCGGTTCCCCCACCATAGAGTCTCCTCCTAGCATGACGTCCTATGTCCTCTGCCTGTCCTAACTGAAAGCCCTATCAACTGTGAAGCCGACCAGCAACAGGGAGCCACAGCAGAGGGATGAAAGAGCCACATGGGGCTCCAGAGCCGTGGATTGCTGACCCCTGGTCTGGGCCAACATCACCCCAAAAAATGTTTGGGTTTTTTTCCCCTTCATATTTTCCCCCTGCTTGCTTTACAAGCAGAGCATGTTTCAAAAATAAATCATAATATCTTAAGCTAATATTGACCAAATCCTTCCTGAGTCAAATCTGTAGGAATGCGGAGAGGGATTTGCGTGAAGAGTGGAGGCCTGTTCAAGGCGAAGAGAAAGAACAGGGAGAGGCTAGAATAAAACACATTTTGTTTTTCCCACATTTTGATAAAGGCATGCCTACCTTTCCTCCTGTGTCTCCCTTCTCCCCTTTTGGGCCTTCGGCACACTTCAAAAACAAAGAAAGAAGGGTTAGGATGGCAACATAGGATACAGATGGAAAAGAGGAAAAGCAGAAGAGGCCAAGTTCTCATGAGTCTCCTTAGAGACGAGGGACCTCACCTGTAATGGAGCCTCAGGTGAGATCCGGACACAGTCAGCACCCTGAAGGGAGATCAGAAGACAAAGCAATCAGAGGACAATTGTCAAGCCATTTAAAGCACAAGTCAACCCAGGAAGAAAGATCCACTGATAAATTCTTTAATAGACTTACGGTCAAGAAGTTAAGAAGTTAATATACAAAATCTTGGGAACAAAATAAGCTAAAAGCCCAGTGTTCATTTATTAAAAGAAGAGAATATTTGTAGCTCAGGAATGAATTGTGGGGTTCTTGATGGTCTACTGTATGAGCTTGGTTGTTTTCTTTCAGACTTTTCACTACCTGATTAGGTAATATCATCAATGCTAGACGGGAGTGTGGTTTTTTTTTTTTTTAATTTGATTTATATGCCGCCCTTCTCCGGAGACTCAGGGCGGCTTACAATGCGTTAAGCAATAGCCTTCATTCTTTTGTATATTTATACAAAGTCAGCTTATTGCCCCCACAAACTGGGTCCTCATTTCACCTACCTTAGAAAGGATGGAAGGCTGAGTCAACCTTGAGCCTTGGAGAGATTTGAACCAGCAGAAATTGCAGGCAGCTGTGTTAATAACAGGGTGCACTAAACCACTGTACTATCAAGGCTCTAGGTTTGCTCTCATTTTATACACAAGTGGTGTGCTCTGTCAGATTTGGTGAGCCTGATTGTAGTAGTTGCTGGATTAAGCTGTTCTTTGGTGTTACCTCAGGAAACAAAACAACCAAAGCACCTCCTCACCAGCAATCAACACCCAGATGAGCAGAGATTAGCACCAACATCTTATTTTATTTACTTATTTATTACTTTTTTTTTTTTGCTGCCAATCTTGCCACGTCTTACAATCAAGAAGTAAACAATACAGCGGCTCGAATAACATATGCACAAAAATGGAAACAGGAAGAAACACCAACAGATGAAGAAGTGATAAAAAAAGTTTTAGAATGTGCTGAGATGGACAAATTAAAAAAAGAAATTAAAGAAAAAGAAGAGACAGATTACTATATAATTTGGAACAATTGGTATGAATGGCTTGAGAGCAGAAATAAAGAACAACATAAATAGGGGAGAATATAAAATGTAAAATATGTATGCAAGATGCTAATTGTTTTAAGAGGGAAAAAGTTAAGCATTAATGGGTTTTTCAGGCATCTGAAGCAAATATATAGAAATGTATAAAATTAAGGCTATTAGGATTAGAAAATACATAGTAATCAATCAAAAAGAGGACAATGAAGAAAATGAAACAATATGAGAGACATGGGAGGGGGGAAAATCACAGTGGAAAGCAGACCACGAAGAAACACTTGTTAAAAAGAGGATATATTTATATGTTGTATGTTATGTGTAAACTTTTTTTTTTTAAGAAGAAGTAAACACTACTCCAATCAAGGAACTACCAACTCAGACAAATAAGCTAATACATCTAGCACTGAGGAAGTTACCTAGCTGGGTAAATGAAACATCTTCCAGGAAACAACCAGGCTCAGAGAGCACCAAGGAGCCCACAGCTCATGTATTAATTGTACGAAATGTGCTGGTTACCAATTTGCTTCCAGGTCCAGTTCAAGGTGTTGATCCTTATCTTTAAGGCCCTTTATGACATGCATCTGGGATATTTGTAGAGCCACCTCAACCCAGTGGGATTAGCCCACCCGACTTGCACCAACAGAAGAGGCTTACTGCAGACCCTGTATTCTAAGGAATTTCAGATGGTGGGTCAAAGAGAAACCTTTTATCCCCTACTATGGCCCCTGTCCTGTGGAACAGCCCACTGCTGGAGGCGAGAGCTGCTTCCACCCTCTTGGCCTTCGGGAAGGGCTTCAAAACCTAGTTTAGGTGAGGGGCCCCTAAGGGCCCCCCTTTGCTGCATGTGGTTGGTGGGATAAGAAGAGCTCACCCCATGCCATCTGCCCCCCTTTATTTTAGTTTTTATACAATTCTTTTTTGATTTTTTAATGTTTTATATTTGTATCATTTCTAAGCCACTCAGAATTGCTGTATCAGTGAGGTGGATTGCTTATTTGTTTGTTTGTTTGTTTATCATATTTTTCGGAGTATAAGATGCACCTTAGTTTTTTGGGAGGAAAATAAGAAAAAAGATGATTGGCAGGCTCGGCCTTCTGGAATACCCCCAATCAGCTGTTCCCAGAGGTGAATTTTAGCAACAGGTTCCTTGGTTGTGAGCTCTGTGCCTTGCTTTTTTTTTCTGCCTCTGAAACTTCTGGAACTCCATTTCAGGAAAAACTTTTTTTCCTGCCTCTGAAAGCCTCCAAAACAGAGCTTTAGAAAAAAAAGCCTCTGAAGCTCTGTTTGGGGGCTTCTTTTCTGAAGTTCTGTTTGGGGGCTTCTTTTCTGAAGTTCTGTTTGGGGGCTTCTTTTCTGAAGCTTCGTTTCTGATGCTTCTTTCAGCCTCTGAAACCTCCGTTTGAGAAGCTGGGCGGGGCTACATTCGGAATATAAAATGCACCCAGATTTTCACCCTCTTTTTTTGGGGAAAAATGTGCGTCTTAATACTCTGAAAAATATGGTGTTTGTTTGTTTGTTTGTTTGTTTGTTTATTTATTTAAATAAATGTTAATGAATTCATTAAAGTGGGGACACTGAGAGACGTTTGAACCTCTTTTTCTAAAAATACGATACTCAAAGGCCAGCCATCTTTCTTCCAGACAAGACTGATCCCGAAATAGTCCTCTGGTCATCATGAGTTAAATTTTTGAGATGCTTTCATTCCTCTCCCAGCCCTGAGCCCTTTCTTGCAGTGGTTGAATGTTCCAAGTCTTATAACTCAGCATCCCACTTTGAGGGAGATGGGTGGCTCAGAAATGTAAAAAATAAATCAATGAAAAATCTGCTTCGATCCCCAGATCCTACTTTTCGCACATTGCAGCCTGAAAGTGGACAGGTATCCCATGAAGTTTGAGAAAGAGCCTACTTACACGATCACCTTTCTCTCCTTTGGATCCATAGATTCCTGGAGATCCCCGTTCGCCTTTCCCACCCTGCAGGGAAGAGAGGCAAAGATTAACAAAATGACAAGCAGAAGAACAGGATCAGGAAAAGCTCTCTGTAGAATTCCCTTTTGAAACTGTCCCAGATAAACCTTCCCTCGAACTGGGTCTCAGCAACAAGCAGTGGCAATTCCATCACCTCTGCATGCATTTGGTCAATTGTCTGAATATGTCCTGGTGGTCATTTGATCACACTTCCTTTTTCACCTTTCCCTGTTACCTGAATATGGAAGTGGGATTGGCATAAGGGAGAATATATGGCAGATATGGTGGAGAAGGAAGGAGATACAATGGCGGGAGGAAATACTCATCCAATACAGAGACTCATGCTGGTGTGAGTTGTTGCTCTGAAAATTGACTGCACACTTAGCAGATGTTCTAACAATGGCAGCAACAATGTTTATGGGTACATCAAATAGCATTAGTGACTAGGACACACAATCTACTCCCCTCTTGAAATTACTGTAAATACACAAAATTAAAGTATCGTTAAATTATGTATGGCTGCCTGTAAGATCTGCAAGATTAGCAATAATGGTGATACAATGGGTTTATTAAAGCCAGAGAAAGCATTTTAATCTATTTAAACTCTTGGGAAACATTATTGATTTTGGAACCAGTCTGCAAAGATTCTGGAACTGTTTGATGTAGTGGAAGTTATATATTTCGCAAAAAAAAAAAAAAAATCTAATCAGAGATAATCAGAAAAGAAAATGGAAAATAGCAATAGCAAAAGCACTTAGATCTGTATACCACTTCATAGTGCTTTACAGCCCTCTCTAAGCAGATTACAGAGTCAGCATATTTATTTATTTATTTATTTATTTATTTATTTATTTATTTGTTTGTTTGTTTGTTTATTTATTTGTTTCCATTTCTATACCGCCCTTCTCCAAATAGGACTCAGGGCGGTGAACAGCCAAAGTAAAAAACAGAACATACAAAATTTAAAAACAGTTTAAAATAATTAAATATTTTGGCCGTAAATTAAAACAACCCAATTTAAAATCAATTTAAAATTTAACTCAAGCCATCCCCCTCATATTGCCCCCAACAATCTGGGTCCTCGTTTTACCGATCACAGATTGACAGAAGGCTGAGTCAACCTTGAGCTGGTTAGGATCGAGCTGCTGCAGTCAACAGAATTAGCCTGCAATGCTGCATTCTAACCACTATGCCACCACGAGTAATATCAATTTTGGGGGTGGTGGTCAGGTTTCTGCAAGGGACAGAAAAAGAAACTAGGAGAACGGTGGGATTCAGGTGCCTCAAGCAGCTGAGATGATCGAGAAAAAGGAGAGACATACCTTCAAACCAGGAGGACCCAAGGTAGCCTGGGGAGGAAAAAAAACAATATGAATGCATCTGATGGAGACACCCAGGAGCAAACCAACTGCCAGAGTGGGAGAAACAAGCATTTACAACAGATAAAATATGAGATTTGTAAAGGACCATGTAACTTAGCGAGGAACTTCAAACCTAAGAGCTGGCTTTAAGAAGATGGAGAGGACTTCCTTCTTGTTTCCTCCAAGGGAAGGATGGAAGAAAAGCAGAGGTAATAGCAATAGCACTTAGACTTATATATCACTTCACATTGTTTTACAGCCCTCTCTAAACAGATTACAGAGTCAGTATATTGCCCCTAACAATCTGGATCCTCATTTTACTGACCACAGAAGGATGGAAGGCTGAGTCAAGCAAGGTAAACTACAAAATGAAAGTGCAAGTCCATTAAGAAGAAGGAGATAGGAATATGGTTGGTTCATCCCAGGGTCCCCCAAAATGGTCAATATTGCCACCCAAAAGTCCTTGAGACTATCAAAGGGGTCAATAAATGGCTGGGGAAGGCTGGAGGTCAATGGGAATAGATTGAATATGGAAAAGTGAGGTGACGTGGGATTAAACAATCACCATTCTCAAGTGAGGTATCACCAGCCCGTTTGACACTCATCAGCTTCATCCTTCCTACGAATGATATCAACTGTTTAGTAAAAGAAATATGTTAAATCTTATATTTTTCACATTTTAAATATTACCTATTCTTATGAAATCATTGTTAGTATCTATTACCTGTTGTTATTCATGGTGTGATTAAAATAGTATTTATCAAATTATTTTCATATACTGTATGTTTGGGGGAATCAATGAACACTCTGAAACTTCATGGAAGGGGTCAATGAACTGAAGAGTTTGGGAACACCTTATTTATCCCTATCAAAGATTGTTGGGCAAAGGAGCTGCTTCCCAGAAGGGATTCTCAGAATTTTAAGACAGAAAAGAGAATCTCGTGCTTTCTGGAGATCCTGGCAACGGAAAGAGACCTGGGGGTAAATTCTACATGCTGGGTTTCAGGAGTGATACGACCACTGGGGTTAAATCTTTGAGAGTGAAGAGTGACAAACAGAAAAGTCATCAGATATGCAAGATCCTAAGATGGGGGTGGGGCCAGTCAGAATTTTTACTACCAGTTCTCTGAACTATTCAAACTTTCCGCTACCGGTTCTCTAGAACTGGTCAGAACCTGCTGAAACCCACCTCTGGCAACATATAATGGTTGCAGGAACTGGGAATATGTAGTCAAATGAAGAGAAGGACTAGGAGTCTTCCAATATCTAAGAGCCTGCCACAAAGAAGGTGGGGGGGGGGCAAACTATTTTCAAAGCACTTGAAGGCAGGGAAGGAAGTAACAGATGAAAATGTATCAAGGTGAGAACCAACATAGAAAGAACGAAGGAGAAATTTCCTGACAGTTAGAACAATTGATCAGTGGAACGACTTGCGTCCAGAAGTTATGGGAGCTTCATCACTGGAAGTTTTTAAGAAGAGATTGGACAGCCATTTGTCTGTAATGGTATGGGGTCTCCTGCTTGAGCAAGGAATTGGATTAGAAGACCTTCGGAGTCCCTTTCAACTCTGCTATTCTGTTATATGGATTCCAAAGAACCACAGATTTGAAAGGGAAGGGGTTTTTTGTTCTATCCCCTGGTATAGTGCAGGGCTTAACAGATGACCAGCCTCTGTAAGAAGACCTCTTGTGAAGGTCTGTTTGGTCTGCCCATTTCAGAGACTGATAGCTCATACGGTGAGATATTCCTCCAGATTTCTTGCCTGGACCTCTTTCCTTGTATTTTTAATCCTTGTTTTGCTCTCTAGGGCAACAGATTATCAATCTGCTCCTTTTTCTGTGTGATGACCCTTCAGAAATTTGAAACCCACTACTGTATCTCCTGTCGTTCATCTCTTCTATGAGCTAAACAGATGAAAGTCCTTTAACTCTTCTTCATGAGTTTAGATTCCAGATCCTTCACATCCTTCTGTGCCTTTCTCTGAATTTGATCCAGTTGGTCGCTTTCCTTTTTGAATGATGGTGCCTAGATCTGAGCACAATACTCTGAATGAAGTCTGATCAGGATAGAGTAGATGAGAAAGGTTACTTCCCAAAACTTTGACCCTATGCTTCTGTGAATGCTCTCCCAAATCATATTTGCCTTTTTAGCAATTGCATCACACCACTGGCTCATATGAACTCACAGGAGACCTTTGGGAAATAGGAAATAAAAATTGAATAACATTTGCAGAGTTTTTTTCCTGTTCAATTGTGTCTCCTTTTCAGAGATTGCCTGGACAAGTTCTTGCAGGTTTTGTTGACGAGGATTTTCAGAAATGGCTTGTTATTGAAGGCTACTTCTGAAGGCTAAGAAAGAGTGACTGGGCAAAGGTCACTCAGCTGCCTTTGTGCCTAAGACAGACTAGAAGTCCTGGTCTCCCTGTTTCTAGCCTGATGCCTTGGCCACCATAGTAAACTGTCTCTCTTTTAGGCTAATTCCAAAAACTGCAGGGGGTTGATAACAGAGGAAATCAGAGTGGGGAAAAAAAACCCCACCCCTTTTTATTTCATTTCTGGGAAATTTGTGGTTGGTTGATTGATTTAGCAGAAAGGAAACTTCTGGCAGCTTCATGTGTTCATTGACCCTGCAGGAAGGGGACAGTAGTTGTTTGGATGCAGACGTTCAATTTTGCTGCCAAATCCAGCAAGAAAATCTGGGAAGGAAGACGACTGATTCTCTGCTCTAGCATCCATGCCCCCCAGAGGATACTCTGCACCTCAAAGTCAGCTGTTGGTCCTTGTGTCTTAGATGGAGAGTTTAGAGAGGTATCAGTTGGGATGATTTAAGATGAAACCCTTTGTTGTTCATCTTGACCTCTTGTATTTATCTATTATTTGTCAACATGTACAAGGAAAAAAGTAACAGTACAGACATAGACATGGACACATGGAAAAAATTTGGCACAAATAAAAGGATATAAATAAGCAAAACATAACCATAAACACATAGAATGAGTACATATAAATGGGGACAGTAGGACAGGGACGGTAGGCACACTGGTGCGCTTATGCACGCCCCCTTAGGGACCTCTTAAGAAATGTGAAAGGTCCACGGTAGACAGTTTAAGGTAAATGGTATGGGGATTAGAGAAACTAACAACAGGATCAGGTAGAGTGTTCCAGACATTTACTACTCTATTGCAGAAGTCATATTTCCTACAATCAAGATTAGAGAGAATTACATTGAGTTTGAATCTATTGATAGATTCTTGTTATTATGGATGAAATTAAAGTACTCATTAACAGGAAGGATGTTATGGTAGATAATCTTGTGTACTAAGATTAGGTCGGAACGTAGACGGCATAGCTCGAGGCTATCCAGACCTAAAATTTCAAGCTTGGTGGGATAGGGAATTTTATTTCGAGCAGAGGAGTTGAGTACTCTTCTAGTAAAATATCTCTGGACCCACTCTATTGTATTGATGTCTGAAATACAGTGAGGGTTCCAGGCAGGTGAGCAGTATTCAAGGATAGGTATTCAAGTATTACTCAGTCTGACATTTCAACACTGTCTGGTCTGTCTGGTCCTCCTGCAGTTTCTCCTTTTGATAGAAATCAAAAGGGAGAAGGACAGTTGTGTGGATGCCCTACAGGGAGGTCGAGGATTCACAACCCATGGCAGGTGCTCTTGGCAACCAGAGAGTCCTCTAGGGAAGTGTTGTGGTCTGCCAGCAGCCTGCGGAGCTGGCAACTGAGTTGGGCAGTGAGGAGGCTGGGGAGGAACATGGGCCAGTCCTGGAGTCAGGGGAAGGCCTGGACGAGGGCTCTGTGTCAGAGGCAGAGATGGGGCCAAGGCCATCTGGGAGTTATGTGCTGCCTCCAGAGCCTCCAGAGTCAGACATCAGTGAGGCAGAGGAACAGGGGAAGCCTGTTCCTAATACATGCATACAAAGAAAAAAGGACAACTCAGGAGTAAGGCCAGAAGATGATTTGCAGAAGGCTTCAAATAGCAGCAATGAGCCATTGGGTTCTTTGTATAAAAACCATTGGGTTCTTTGTATAAAAGCAATGTTGATTCCCATGCTTCTTGTCAGCATCTCTTGAACTTTGTGGGGGTTTTGCCAAGAAAAGCCTTTGGCAGGTTGCCAAAGACATCAAAGTTTGGTGATAAGGCCGATGGACTGGTTATTAAGAATTTAGTTTTGGACTAAGCTGAGAATGAATTAATTCTCAGCTGTTTTAATAAACTAAGTTTGTTGAGGACTGAATTGTGTTTGGTAATCACTACTTGGGCCTTGGTCACAACAGGAAGCAAATAGTTTTTAATCCCAGAGCTATATTTGCACTCAACAATGAACTAAGGGGCCACCATCAGTGAGCCATTGGACAGCATTACTTGGTCTGTTGGGTGGATGTTTGGGTGGTTTAGGGGTGGGGAATTTGTGGTGGATAGGAGTGTGTTTGGGGATTGTTATGTGTGTGGGACCTGGTCTTTGGGTGTTAAGTGAATTTTGTTGTATGGGTATACTGTGGATACCCGTACAATGACAATAAAGTTATTTATTTATTTATTTATTTAAACCATCAGCAAGACAGAGGAGAAGTTTAGACCTGAAAGTGATCTGGTGCTTTTGAGGCTGAAAAGGCACCCGTGGAAAATTGGCTGCTGAGAAGATGAACGCAGAAGGCCCTGCCAAATGTTACTGAGGGCTCTTTTGGGGTCTAATTGTGTGGAAGGCATAGTCAGTAAGTCCCAGAGAGCAGTAACTGCATTAAGTGTCACTCAGATGGAACTGGATGGGAGTCCCACCAACGCGTCTGGCAGTTAGGATCAGATGTAGCTTAATTTGCACGAGCATGAACGTTCTGGATATAATCATAAAATTAAGGCTCTGCACACGTCTAGCATGTATTCTTATAGTAGAGTCAAATGTGGTTTTTTTTCAAAGGACAATTGGACTTCCTTGGTTTCTTTGATAACATTTCACTTCTCATCCAAGCAGTGGC